TTCTCCACGACTTTATTTAAATATAGGACTTAAATGCAGTGCATCCTTCAGCCTATGGGTAGTTCTATTTACGTATTAGAGCTAAGACTGTCAATTAGATGATGTGCTGAAAGAATGGAAATCATTATAGATAACCGGGTGCCAAATCATCTATGACATTAATTAGTGAGAGATTCAGAGCTTATTTTCATTTTTATAATCCCACTCTCACTGACATCATTCTGCTTGTTGACAGATGATTAACATCTTTAGAAAGCTGAAAAAAGTGGGAGTGAACTCATTACAAATGCCAAACACTGGCTGAGATCTACTGCAGCGGACAAAGATTTTTTGGGGTGTACAAACAGGTTCTTTTATATTTCTCTATCTGTACATAATCAGCAATTAAATGAGAACTCAAACTTGTTAGGATCTTCCTTCCTGTTCCCCAAATGCTGAAACAACAGTAAACGAGATGCAGACTGTCAGCACGTACAGACATCTGGCTATGTGACCCCACTGAAATGTCACATGAGATGGGAGGAGCTACAACCTCACACATACCTTTATTTTTAAATCACATAAACTAAACTTGCAGTAGTATCTGCTGTCAGACTAAAAGAAGGAGCTGTAAAAATAGACTGTCTGGTTTTCTGTCAGACCAATACAAGTAGCTGCAAAAACAGATTGGCTTGTCTTTTTTCCAAGGCCTTTTTCAAAGGCTTTCAAGTGAAGATGATGGCTTCTCACATTACCCCATTTTCCTCCCTAGTTGCCCCTTGCAGCTTGCCCCTTGTCCCACCTTGCTGCTATCTCCCACTTAACTGGAAGGTCAAGGTTTTCCAACACCCACGTGCAAGCCTCTCATGTGTAATGGGCATTACTCATGGGAGTAAACATGCTTGTGAATAAAAACTGGTATTGAAGGTGTGGAGTATTAAGCTTCTATCGAATTTCCAGCACAGTTTAAAGAAAAAAGTATCCTGTGTTCTTCAAAAAAGTCAACAATGTCCACCATGAGTGCAAAATGAGAAAGAGTTCAGAATATACGGCATCAGAAGCGTGGGTTACCTGTTATCTCTCTCACTGTTTGGAAGATATTTAATTTCTCTGGATTGATGGCAGCAATTGTGTGATACGGGTCCCTGGAGGATTAAAAGAACAAAACGTCATGTTCTGAATAGGAAAGAAAAAAAAAAGGCAGGTTCACAAAGCTTCACCACATGGAAGCAGTACTTGGAGGGTCACCGCTTTGCTTTCGGTTAGCACATGCCCCAGAGGATGTTGTACTTTCTTCGTACTGTTGATCTGCAGAATCTGCATCTAATTTCTCCCAAGACATCCTCATGGGAAATGATGGTGCTCAGCATCTTTGAGGACCAAACCATTCATATATTAGTAAATATTTATACTTGTGGAAAATTGATGGATTCTGAACAATCATGGATGATATCCCTAAAGAAAAGATAGTCATAATTTTTGTTCTTGTTTTTCTCAAGATTAGCTTAGTTGCAATACCCTATAACTAGGGCTGACAAACTGCTACTAAAATAAGCAGCAAGCTGTAAGCAAAAACAATATAACAGCATGCCAACAGTGCCTGACATGTGACATTAGAAGGGTGCAATTTTAATAAAGTGTTGAACAGGGACCATAAAGGGTACAGATCCCTCCAAGTCTCCCAAGTCGGTAATGTGAGAACTGAAATGCCTCCAGTAAACATTAAAATCTCTAATTGTAAGAACCTGGAGCTGACCTTAATTTTGAGAGTGCCACCATTTAGCAAACATTTTTAATTGAAAGGCATATGGAACATTCTCCTTGAGAACATCCACTATAGGCAAATATACTATGATACCCTAAGACTAAGCATTCTGAAGATAAAAATATGTATTTAAGCCCTTTAAATGGTCAACATGTATGATATAGCCGTTTTGTCAACATACACAATTGCAGAAAAAGGCAGTCATCTATTCCCCTTCTTACACGCAGAGCCAGACTTTTCAAGATTTCTCAGCAGAACGGGCACAGCTGAATTTCACAGCCCCCAAGAATGAGAGTTTCAGCTGCATCTCAAGCTGGGGATGGACAAGGAAGGGGAGGATGAAAGTCCTTCAACTACAGTTCTCCTGGGTGTATCTCACTGCTTCACAGGCAGCCATGGCTTGGCTTTCTAGGACCTCAGTCTAAGGAAAATGGGCAATAGAGAAGACTGTATCTCATCTATTTAGGGCTACTTTTTTCCAGCCAAAGCATTTTTGTCTCTGTTTGAGGCAGCAGGTGTGCAAGTTAATGAAGATGACTCCATGCACGCAGTTCAGAGAGTGCTACTTTAAAAGAATGAATATTACTGATTCACCAAAAAAACCTAGGCCAACCTTCACTTTGCTTTGCTTCAGGACACTAATTAAAGTCCCTAAGGAGCCTCATCATTGTGGCCTCCCTCCATCCTTAGGGCACAGAGAAGGACATCACCTGAGGGCCAACCCTGACACCCACCACCTGAATCCTGCTCTGAAGGTGCCCCTTGCTGGCTGCAGAATACTGCTCTACTCCTCACACACAACTCAGCTCCGTGTCTGATTTCAGACTGTCTGGATCTTATCCCAGAATTGTAGCCAAATCTGCACACGGAAAGACACACACCGACTTCAGCAGCTTGGCCACGGCTCAAGCATGACACAGGCAGAAGCATACAGAAACCACACAGTTATAAAATTGGAATGTAAACTATTATAAATAACTGGGCCTCTAAAAAATCGTGATTTTGTAAAAATAGTATGATAAATGAAAGGAGAGCTGTGGCTCAATTACTCAGGAAGGGGAAGGATAACACACCAATTGGTGCATTGCAGGATCAAGTGCAATTGCAGAGTTACCAGCCAAAACACAAACATCCCCTCTTAGCATCTTTTAGTGAAGTTATTCTCTGCCGATAGAAAACACCTTTCAGTTCCCCATATAATGCTGGTCTAGAAATCCCTAGATTTTGGAATGCTGAAAGTTCCTGTTTTTAAAAGCTAATATTCACTCTGAATGTATGAATTCATGTCAGGAGTTCATTAAAAGTGCAAGCATAAACATGCATTATTGTTCTTACTAGCATTATTTTTAAATAATTTCTGTAATATTTACTTTCAAAATGTAACAGCAATCTTAAACAAAAAGCTGTCTCAGAAATATACAGTTATTTTAATCAGTTCTCAAATATTCTTCTCTTTTTAATAATATATACAGCTTCTGTGGAATAACTTAGCAGATACTTAAGACTGTTTAGAGTTATTTTTGTCATTAAGAATGAGAGACTAAGTGTTACATAGTTCCAGCCTAAGTGTCCTGAGTTTATACTGTTCTGTTAAAGTGTAACAAAATATTTTAATTCTCTGCTTTATAAGCCCATATTTTTAGATTTTTTGAGAGTAATATAGTTTTATTCAACATCGGTTTTGCCAAGACTTTTCCCTTTAATTTAGATCAGATTTGTTAAAGTTCCTTGTCTCATAATTTTGCAATTAGTTTGCATTATTATTGCAACTGATACCTAGTACTAAAAATTACATTTTGCTTAATGCACCAAGTCATCCAACCACTTGTGCTGCATTTACTGACATCCTTTCTGTAATGTGAGATTTAATTCATTTACAGCCCGCTTCTTGGGCGGTCACTTGAGCAGGTTAGGAAGCGTGAAGGCCTCAGTGCTACCTCCTGTACGACGTCTCCAGTGCTTCCACAAGTCGGAAGCAGCATTTCCTGCAATCACTCGAAATAAGGCCTTTCTCCCTTCCTATGCTTTACCCTAATCACTCACACTGCACTCCCTGCTGAGAGGAGAGCAGCTCCCAGTCAACCCTCACACTTGCTGGCCTTCCAAGAACCACCGAACCACGGGGCCCCAGGAAAGGGACTTTTCTACTGCCGACTGCATGGTTTGGGTCAGGATGTAGGCCAAGAAGCATTACAACCATCAAACCAGCCACATCAAATCAAGGAAACAAGCCCTTTCTTTCCACCTCACCTAGTACGTTAGAGCCAAGCAGCTGAGCATCAACCGCTGTGTTATCTAAACATACCTGAACCTACAGAAAGGCTAATGAAAAATCTGCTGCTGGCATTCCACTTCAGTTCGCTCCGCGGAGTTCAGTTAACCACACTACGGCACAGTGCTGCAAGCGTGCAGGCTGTCAGGGAGCTATGCTAAGATCCAAAAGGTTGCCAGCCACTTGCATCTAATGGTAAAAGCTCCGAGGAGCCCAAAAGAGTATGTTAAAATATGAAGCCTAAAAGCAGCGGTAGAAGTCATCAAATGCTTTGCACTGTTAGTACACCATGCCAACATTCAAATCCAAGGGTTTCATCTGATTCATGCATTTAGAAGACTTCTAAAAATTTTACTTTTAAAAATATTGTAACTGAGTACCAAAGATCTCAAAGCAAACACAATTCCCAGCTATCTTTCCTGTTTCGAGGATGGTCTACCTCATCCTTTTTCTTTTCATAGAAATCAAATTACAAGAATCAGGTTAGCAGCATTCCTTCACAACGTAACGCAAAAACTAATTTATCCTGGATCTTCCATTCCGTGAAAGAGGCCTGCAGCCATAATTAACAGGTAGACACAATCTGTTTTATCTGGCACCATGACAGTGTCTTAAAATGTTGTCACTTACCCATGAATCCCAGTAACAAGAAAGATAAGGTTGCCATTGATCTTGGTACAGTTTATGAACTTGTCAATGTTGCTGGAATCCACTGTCTGGGCTGCCACCAAACTCCCTGTTCCAATGCCATCACAAGCTGCCAAAACAAGGAGTTTGTGTTAAGAACTATAAAAAACAAATACTGAATCAAAACATGCTGGCCTTCAAGATACCAATCTTCATTTCTTCCAAAGATAAAGCAAGAGCAATATGTTAAGACGACACTCCTTGCCTGTATTCTAAAACAAGTATGTGCAGATTTTTAAAGCAAACAGTTTGCTTGTGTGCTGTGTATGTGCCACAGAAAGGTATCCTGGCAAACACACTGAGATGTTTCACTCTGGATGCAAACACAGCTCTGAATCCCACAAACTCCCACTCAAGCCAGCTGTGACAGGTATTTAATGCCTGAGCTCAGAGCAGGCTGGCCATACCATTTGTGTGCACTGTTCACTGCAGAAACTGAGAGCTCCTAACACTACTAACCCTATGGGCCACCTTCACTGAGATGAACCTGTGAATTGAACCACTCACAAGCCATAGAACAACCACGTGCAGCACATCTGTACCCTTTAGGTACAAGGGATAACTTCCCACCTTTCCCTGGTAAGTGTCAGAGCTTGACAGGAACACCAGATGCAAACTTTCATGCACGAAACTCTACATATTGCAATAAAGTTCTTTAATATAACTGGACTGAAAAGCTGCACACTGCAATTGCACAGAATTCATTATATCACTATTCTGCTTTGGCAGAAGTGTCTGAGATTTTTATCAACCATATTGGGTGACTTGGTTTTCTAAGGGCACATGGCGGGGAAAAAAAGTGGGTTGCTTTCAACACCTTCAAACTGGAGGGGCCCCATAAGAGACCTTCATATATTTCAGTCTTATCAAAACAACTGCATGAAAACTGTCTATCCTTACACATTTAGAAAAGAGGTAGAAGATTCTGTGAAAACAGAGATGATTCTAGAGAGCAGAAGAAATAAATGGAGACCTAATGTAATACTGACAAGCTGAGACACTGCTTTTGGGTGGCCAAAAGAGAGCTCTAACATGCCTCGAGGAAATGCTGGTCATTAAAACAGTATACTAAAGAACTCTTCTGCATTTCTCTAAAACTGAGAGAACACCCTCTCTCATTTTTATAAAGCAAAAGTATGTTTTTGATTATATTACCCTTGCAACTTAATAAATATTCATTGCCCTCTGTTGAAGAATACACTTCACATGCAGGTTACACAGCTGAAAGCTCTGTGGCTATCCAAAAGCTGTTAGTATCAAATATTCCACAATTTATTCTTGGAGAATATTTAGTCCCAAAATAACACAGTGGTTTGCTCTACAAAGTAGACTACATTCAAGAAAAGCTGTGCTAAACCACTGCCTACCTTTTGGACAAATGTCAGTGCAGGGCTTGCACATCTTTATACCATTTTCTTCAACCTCCATCTTGGAGCTTGGACATGCACGAACACAAGAGCTTGAATCTACCACAAAGTTGTCTGAAAAAAAAAGAAAATATTGATTGAAGGTGACCTGCAGTAACACTTGGACACATGTTCTTGGTTTCTCTGTCACTATTATTTGCTTCAGCACTTCCACAGTAACATTTCATGCCAATGCTTTCTAAAGAATTTAAAGAGGAAAATCAGGAATGTCTTTCTGCTAACCTACAAAAACCATGAATGGTCAGTCCCCAAGCCCCTCCCCAACAGGTGGGTTTTATTATCAGAGATATTAGAGGTAACAACAGCTACAGAAATACAAAAATAAAACACAATGTTCTACCCTGTCTCTTTCACAGATACACAAATACATACATCTGGGATACAGTACTGCAGGAGGTTATGAGAATTATTTCCTTTTTGCCTTGTAAAACAATAGCCAGAGGGGATTTAGACTGATCCTACCTGATGGAAAGCTTAACAATGACAAGCAAGTTTAAAACAAAAAAATGCCCTTTAATGAAGTATTAAGGTAAAGAATCACATCCCTTAAGTAACACATGGTATAAATAATTTGGTAAAGTATTTTATCTTGCTTAAAAAAAAAAGCCTCAAACTCAACCTTTATTCAAGGAAGAGGAGGCTTTGACAGTCACAGACTAAATTCGACTGTCAATCTGAACTTCCCCATAGAGATTCCAAATTTGGATTTTGCTTTAGGATAAATTATGATTCTACTGGTTATAAGTTACCCTTTCTTTTTCATATGTAATTTGTCTACGGAATAATTATGCACACTACCACTGCAAATCCTGTTGGCATTGAAAGTGGAGCCAGAACACTGCCTCCTTTATTTTGTATTCTAACTGACACTGCAGTATTGAAGTCTATGACAATGAGAACACTAAACACAATTTTGTGTTGTCTTCTGGCTGAGTGTCTCAGAAGGGTGCATTTTGAGTATGTAAGGGTTTATTTACTCTAATCCTTGACCATTTTTTCAAGATAAAAATCTGGGCTCCTTCCCTTGCTACAGCAATTTTACTCTGGAGTTTTAAGACTTGCGTTGTCGTTACTGCATGGTTTTCCCTCACCAAGACAGACCTGCTCAGAAAATGGTTACGATAACTTTTTCAAACCACTGTCACTCCAAACTAAGGAAAGAGCAAGAGCATCATGAAAGCACTCGATGCCAACTGCGTACTGTTATTTTTCTGAAAATGGACCTTTTATCTTTTCACAATGCCAGTATTTAATATAGCTTTTGCATTACTTCAACAGGTCTAACATTTTTGAAGTCTTAAGTGGTGATCAAAGGCATAAATGAAACAAGTGGCTGTCAGGCAAAACAGAAAGCTAGTGAATTTTACACCCCCCCCCATTAAAACAAAATAAAACAAGAAGAAAACACACACTCTCATCACTCTAGCACAGGGCATCTGGAAAGGGTTTGAACCCCTCAATGTCATTCTTTTGAAGCAATAAACGCCTGTGTTGCGGCAGCAGCAGGCACACGTGGAGGGCCGGAGCCAAGAGCACTTACGTGGGCACTTCTTGACGCAGAAGGCTCCGTAGGTGTACTTGGCGTTGTGGTTGTGCTCCAGCTGGAAGGTGGTAGGATTGTACACAAACGTCTGCGGGCACTGGGTGACACACGCTCCGCTGTCGTTGAAGTTCATGCAGGCCTGCAGAGCACGGCAGAAAAAGAAAAAAAAAAGACAAAAGAAACAAAAGAGACTCAAATTACACCACTGTTTCCAAATCCCTTAGCTTAACAGAGTCTTGATTGTTCAGAAACAAGTGAGCAGAAGTAGCAAGGATGAGGAATGGGCTACATAGTTTTCTAACCTTCATTTTTGGCTGCTTGCTAGGACCTTAGTAAATATATGGCACATCAAAGGGAGCCCACAGAGACCCCTTAATCTGAAAGACCATTCAGCGTTACCACACTTTCTACAGAAACATAACAAAACTGTAATTTGTTTCATAACTATTGTTACTATTAGCAATCAACTAATTCACAACTCGATAGGGCAATCTACAACTGCCAAGAGTGAACAGCTATTTATCATAGTCAGTCTAAACAAATGCTAATGACTTGTTCTTTAGACATCCAACCTTTTGATTTCTTACAGCGTGAGTCCATAGTCCAGCTGAAAACTGAAATTCCCAATTAGAAAGCCAGGGGGATAAGGGCTTCTTTTGAGCTAGCACAGGAGGGGGTCATTTCCCTAAGTGGCACGTTTAACAAGGTCAGTTGCTTCACACACTGGGAAGAGAAAATAGGACTTTGTATCACTTAGCATTCAAGCTCAGCCACCCGCAGCTGACAGAGGACAGGGCCCTGACAAATGAAGAGGCAAGTGTGTGGATAAAAAGAGTAATGGTATGCAGGGAAAATAATTGACTATGCAAGGTTGATAATTAGTAACAGGAAAAAAAAACGCACTGATTTTGACATTCCTTATTACCACACATCGTGTCCATGGCTATAACCACAATTTATAAAAACTGCAGGGATAAAATTCACAAACAGTAAATAGTGTCAAATTCCACATGAATATGAAAGCAGTAGCTTGGCTTGGATCCCTCCAGCATTTTAAGCAACCATTGCTACTGGATTCTGCTTCCCCATTAACTCATCTTCCGGATGCCAGGTTGCTTTTAAAGTTTCAGTCTAGGGATACCTCTTTCCAATCCTTTTCAAGGATTCAGAAATAGCCAGGTGGTTCTGCACTGCTGAAGAGTTAGCATACTAACAAGCCCTCTTCGCCTACCACCTAGGTAGGGCTGCAGAAAACTGCAAAAGAAATTCCCTCTTCTGCTGCTTTTGCTAAGCGATCTCATCTCCATGCAGATCATGGATGTACCAGGGCAGCCTGAGCGAGGTAGCTTAGTTGTCATGTCAGAAGATTTCAGAAAGGAGAGAGTAATAATGTAACCAAGAGAGGAAATGTTTGCTGCTGCGAGGGACAAACAGGGAGTGCCGTGATAAAGGCACTATCTCACAGTGTGTACTAGCCTGCGTGACCCTGAGAAGCTTGCAGGTAAGCCACTCTGATCCTGCCTTTTTGGTGCTTTAGAATGAATGACAAAAACTAGCCCTTTCTCACAGCTCCAGAATTATAAATACAGCCAGTTACTCCTTTCTAAGAATTGAATGGGAAGTCCTCTCTGTGAATAGGAGTTGTCGTTGCTCTGGTTTCCCTGGGCATTAGTTCAGGCCCTGCTGTGCATTTCAAGCTTTAGATTCAGACTGGTTTTGAATTCAAGATGAGACCATCTCTAAAACTTGGCTTTGCCACGTTTGCCTGCAGTTCAGTCGGAAGAGGACCACTGTCCTGCTTTTGGGACTGAATACACTAATAATTCTATGGCAGCACATGGAGAATGGATGAATCTTATCTAGAAATATTAAAATTGTATTTACAACAGGATATTATTAAAGCTTGCCGTTATATGCTAAATTATTTTTCAGCGCATCATAAATTCTACTTTTTCTTATTAATAAATACTAATTTAGCTTGTTTCCTCAACACATTTTCCATATCTACCATAGTCCTAGCACGTACTCTATCATGCACAACCCCTCTGATGATGGTCCAGCAAATGCACACTCAAAACAAAACACATCACGGATACATTACTCAGGGATGGCACTTTACAGAAAGAATTCTAGAAGAATTGGGAATTTTTACTATTTAACACTTCGTATACATCTATACATATGCAAACTTCTAGCATTTGCTGCTAAATGCTGCTATTTAGGGGGAGCATGGGAGGGGAGAAATCATGTCTCTTTTAGCTAAAAGCTAACCACATTTTTTTATAGTCTACAGGGTTACACTTTTTACCCAGTGTGTAGTAAGCAAGTAATAACTAGTCCTGAAAATTGCTGCACCCCTGCTGAATTTCTTTTACATTGCTCTAGGGCTAGGAGTAAATGAGAATAGAGTCCTGAGTGTTACCCTACTGAATCAGAGCAAACATGCTAGCATGGGCTTTAGCGTATGCATTCCCATAACTGCCACAGCTCAGAAAATAGAACTCATTTTCTTGTAGGCTGCAGTACTACTGCGCTCACGCTTACAATATCATGTTCTAAGATGAACTTGGAAAACATGGGTTCAATATCTCAGCTTTGAGAATGTTCCTCTATTGCTATATAGGGACAGTAACTACTAGCAAAGCTTCTCTCTCCAGTACAGTGTGATGAGCTACACATTTTTGCATACATTTCTGTGTTTATCTATTTTTCAGGAAAAAGTTAGCCACCTTCTCTCTCTTCATCTAACATGTATTTGAGGCAGGGTATATTGGAAACTACTTCCATCTCCACTGAAAAGCATCAACAGCAGAAAAGGTGATTTTAAATCAAGCCTGGCAGCAATACAAACACTTTTCCCAGAGATGCTAAACTGTATTCCTGACTTCCAAACAAAAAAGCACACAGAGTCGTAATAAAGACATACTCCAATGCAGTGCTAAATACTTGCAAAAATTCCCTATCACCTCTAAAAGTTAACTTTAGAAAGATACAAATCAGAGAGATTAGCATATTAATGGTTCCCAATCTATATTTGTAAATCTCATAAATCTGTTAATGGGTAATACTGAATAGATAAAAGTCATGTTTACGTAACATGAAAATACTGAATGATAAAATTAGCAGACAAGATCTGGAAGGGAATATGCAAAATACTAAAAGGGATCGAAATGGTGAATTTCATGGATTAAAGCACAGGAAATCTGCACTGTAACGGCTGGGAAGGAGAAGAGTTCTCAGACGTACAAAGCAATCAGTGTCTTTGGGCCCGGAGCAGCCTCCAGCGCATTCCCGGTGGCAGCAGTCACTGACGTAGGGCCCGTAGCACCGTCCATCGCACTGCTCCGCACACACTGTCTTCGTTACTAGGAGGAGACAGCAAAAATTAGCGTGTCAGCATCATCAGAAAAAAGGAGAGCGCTTCCCAACTGCACCCTGATGGAAACCACACAAAGCGTTATATATATTTTAAAGGAAACAGTATATATATGTTAAAGGAAACAGTCGTAACTGGTTGAAGAGTTCAGTAATACGTCTAAGAAGCTCATTGAGGAGTTGGATATTTTTGTAGATGCATTCTTTAAATATTTACACATAAATACATAAAAATACACATACACACTCACAATCTTTTGACTTTTTTGTGAATTCATAGTATTGTTCTGCACAAGTCCTAGCGAGGAAGAATCTCGGCCCACAACAGCAGTGTTTCATACACAAGATATGCACAGGGGTATCTTTATACAGAAGTAATGCAGAAATCCCCAAGCACCCTTCTTTGTGCATAGAAACAACCCACAGGTGGCCATTCCCCTTGGAAGAATTAAAATACTGAACAGCCTGGTCGCAGGCGACAGCTTTTATCTTCACCTTGGGAGAAAATAATCCAGTATTTTCCAGACTACACACACCACTCGCAGCACGCCAGGAAGGGCTGTCAGATGTATTTTGATAAGCAGCTGGGACATCACGCTTCTACAATTAACCTTTACCAATTATTTTGGTCAAAGCGTTTGACTGATCCACGGAAAACACTTTCCAGGAGGTCAGGGAATGCAAAAAATCCTCCAACTTCCACCCGACATGAGGCGGGCTCCTTGTATGAGCACCTGCCGGCAAGAATCCACTCCACCACCAATTACTGGAGAAAGTTCAGGTAACGCCCAGGCACCTCAGCAGTCTGGTTATTTATTTAGGAGGTAAAAACGTAAATAAGCCACCAGTAATAACCTAAGGGTGCTCTCAGGGCACCCCGCCACGCCGCACTGCACGTGCTCAGCACCAGCTGCCTGAACCTTCTAGAAGGCTCCAGCCGGGGCACGCGCAGCAGCAGGTCGCCTCAGGGGCGCCTCATTAAAAGCCCTGTGTTATGGCACATTTTATTAGCGTGTTTAGGTGTTCCCATTAGGGGCCGAGGGCCTAGGGACAGGCTTCAGATCGATCCAATTTACACTATTGCAACTAGAGAACAAAACAAACAAACAAAGAGGTGGACACAAGCCATGCACGAAGGTGCTGTTGAGTGGCGCTTCCTTGCCCTGGTGCCAATGCAATTTCAACCTGGAAAAGGGGGGTTGGAAGAGACCCTGGGCTTCCTCCACTGCTGCCTCCCCCAACAGCGCAGAAGAGAGAGGCAAATCCCCCACTTGGGAGAAGGAAGCAGCCTTGCCCCGGCCCTGCAAGCCCCACTAACCCAGAGCGCCTGGGTAAAGCGGGAGGCAGGGCCGTCTCGTCAGCTCGCGAGCTGCTCTTTTCAGGGAGCTGAGATCTATATATTTGGGGATTACACGTTTCTTTCAAGCTGTGCCGCAGATAATAGTGCTTCCCTCGGCTGTGCAGTTTAAACAGGCGTAGGAAACGAGCTCTGACAACAGCAGTGGGCTTAAGCAATTTACTGACATCTTTTCAGAAGTTCTCACACTATTAGGACAAAATCTCCTAAATTATTCACCCTCCTCCAGAGCCTCCCAGTAAGGCCTGTGCCATGCGTAGTGTTACAAATACCATTTTTTCCCCAAAAATTCCTTTAAGAGACTACAACAATTTATTCTAGAGCATGTTTATTTCTCAAAAAATTGATCATCCTCTCTGCAGGGGCAGCTCTGGAGAGCTGCGGTCCCCTCTTCACCACAGCCTAACAGAGGCCTCTGCCCTGTGTCTGGATGAGGAAACCTGCCTTTTCCCCAGACCATAAGGTTACCAAGCAGTTTGTAAAATGTACAGCAAGAGCTGCTGCTGTTCATGTCTAATTGTTTATTTTTCTTGGGAAAACAAACAATACCAACGGAAATGTCACCGTTTCACTCTAGGAAAAGGGCACGGCGTCCCTCATTTATCTGCCGGATTACCCTGTGCTCCGTTTGCATCGTAACTGCTACTGAAGGGCCAGCTCTGAAGAGGAGCTGTCAGATACCTTCAGTGGCACTTTACACAAAAACAGGAAAAAAAAAAAAAAAGAGCTGAGCTCTCAATGTATTTAAGGATTGTGTTAGAGACAGGTGGCAGTGAAGGGTTTTCCCCAGAAGCAAAACAAGCAAAAGGCAGTACTATCCATGGCTCAAAGTCCTGAAACGGTCTGAATGTTCGGATCCCAATAAACGTAACTCAGCAGTTCAGCTTCCTGCTGTCATTAGCACGGGGTAACCCTAGAGAAAATCAGCCTAGCTGGATGGGTTTAAAACAATGGCAGTTGATCTTCAATAACCTCCCTCCAAATATAATCAACTTGTTTCGCTCTGAATCAAGGCATATCCAAAAGAGTGCATTGCAAAAACCAATTATTTGCTTCATGCCCAAGACATCAAAATATTTACTCAGTCATCCCCCCTAGGATTCCCCTCACCTCAAAGCCATGTCCACAACCACTCAGGGGGCCCCGCATCGCCCTGGCCAAGACCCCCTGTTTTAGGGGGACCACAACACCGGCTGCCAATCCTTTACTAGCATTTCCTTCCGATAGCAATAAGCCATGTTGGGAAGCGGGTGGAAGGGGTACTCCACGTGTATGTGCAATTAATCAGGCTCTCTCATTGTTTCCTTTAATCTTTAATTATGTCAGGGCACTATAAATCTATGAAGGAAGAAATGGGAAGTAACTGAAATCAATGGAAAAGTCTTATGAACATGCAAAGTTATTAGTAAAATACAAGGATTTTAATTAAAGATGCTGGCTTGAAGCAAAAATGCTGGGTTGCCCTGATTGATCGAGGCTGCTGGTTCAGCTCTTTCCATCTCCCCCACGAGGCTGCTGCTTGGCTTTTTTTTTGCTCTAATTGGGTACTTACTGCATCGGCACCTTCTTTTCCTAAGCAACATCAGTTGCACAAAGACTGTATAAATACAGTTATGCTCAGGCCAAACTCCTATACACATACACACAACATTTCACGTTTGCTCATTTCTTATGTTCCTTGTATGATTTAGAGGCTTTTTATCCTTTTTGTATTCCCTTAGTTAGGGCTGTATTTTAATTTAGATTGTTCTTTTTTCCTTGCAGGTAAGTCCCTTTAGGAAAAAGTGCATAATCTACCATTTTAATAATGTATTTAATTTATGGAAGTTTTGATTTCTTTTCACATGAGAAGGGGAAAAAAGCACAACTTAATAGACATCAACAGCAAAAGCAGAAACAACCTAACCACACATTTTTAAGTTTGAATAGTAACTTCCAAAAGTTTTTGTCTCTGTGTGTTTAACTTTCAAGTGGTTGACATTCTGTTTAGTGCATGCCAAATGTCCCTTGAAAAATACTTTTTAACAACTTCCAACTTAGCCCATCCTGAGCGTGAAACAAAGAATATCCTCTTTTAAGTGTTTGGTGTTAATATTTATTAAAATTCTATTCATAAAAAACAGACTATTAAATACATAATATAGTAACCTGAATTTCTCTTCTCTACACCTTAATGGAACAGCTTATTTAAAATTTCCTATGAATTGCCTTCTTACATACATACATTTTCATTTCACATTTAGAGGGACATCAGGCAGACTTAAATGCAGGTGGTGTTTTATACAGATTTGAATACACAGAGAGAAAAATAGCTGGAAGGCAGCATAAGAAGCAGCTAGGCAGGTGATATCCATGCAAAAACAAAAGGATCCTGTTGTGTTTTTTTTTCCCCATATGTAATTTGAAATGAAAGACGGGGATTAAGATCTTTCATTTTTTATCCTTTTCCCAGGAAAATAATTTAAATCTTATCTTGGGAGGGGGTCTCATTACAATTTTTTGCTTCAGTGGATCAATAAAAAAACATGAAATTATTAAAATGCAGACAAGCATCTCTGAGTTCTGTTTCTAGGAACAAACTATTTTGACTTTGGGCTGTAGCACCGTAGAGCCATTTTCCTGCACGTTTGAAAGATGAGCATCTTTCAAGGTGACTAGGTTAAGGTATATACTGTTTTTGTGATACCATTCATCCTATCTCCAGCTTGTATCTAAGAATATCATTTATGAGCTTGAAAGTCAGGCATGTTTTTTAAGTCAGAAATGAAGGCAGCAAAAGCAGAGCACCGCTTGGATTTTTGTATTTCGAGTCCCTGCTCATACTCTTGTTCTTTGCTACAAACAATCTGCAGAAAAACAAGTTTGGAAAAAGCATACTGAAGGTTATGAAGAAAGGCCTGGTGCCAGCCTAGCATCACATCAGTCTTTTCTTTAAATCTGATGTTTACCTAAGGCGGCGTGAGGTCAGGGAAGGAAAAGCGAAGCATGCAACAAAATTAACTCCTTCTCCCTGGTAATCAGAAGCTGCAGGGAATGATGCTGATAAAAGGGAAGGGGGCAGAGAGTGGCTATTTCAAATTAGATACGTATGATCTGTACATCTTCCTGGAAGTTAGCCAGCCGATGCCTTTGTAGAGCTTTATATTAATCCCACAGTCACGCTTTGGCCTGTCCCCACCGGCAGAGAGTGGCTATTTCAAATTAGATCTGTACATCTTCCTGGAAGTTAGACTGCCGATGCCTTTGTAGAGCTTTATGTTAATCCCACAGTCACACTTTGGCCTGTCCCCACTGCACCAGCCTGAAAGGGCAGCCGTGAAGAGAGGTGGATGTCACTCCAGGACTAAACGCACTGCACAGCTCTGCTGAGCTGCTGGCTTCAGAGCATCGCTGCAGATCAGCGAACTGATCTGGTGGATTAATGCGTTACTGCCAGAGAGAGCAAAACTCCTCTGAAAGCAACTCCGTAGCAGCTGAGAGCCGGGAAGCTGGTCCTGCAGCATGGACTTCTGCAGCCACAGAGTCCAGCAGGACACCAGCAACCACTCGAATCCCTAGGAAGAGCAACTCCAGTAAACCCAGCACATTTCCACCACGTGAAGCTGCCAAGATAGGAAACATTGCAGGTGCCTCCACACCTGTGGGATGGGAGGCATCTTGTAGGAAAAGACAGCTCTAAACTGTCTCCTCTTTTATTTTGCTAACCCTGTGACTGCTCTTCTAGCTCCTTAGTGCCTGTTGGATAGGCTCAACGCACATAAAGAAACTTCCTCCTTACGGTTCTCCCTTTCCATTCACTTAATGCTCTCTGAATTCAAGAGGACAGACATTGTAAGCAACCCTTCACTTAGGACATCCCTTACAAAAATTATTTTTCTCTCTTTTGAGTTGAGTCAAACATCTTCTGAATGTTTGAGTTTGAGTCAAACATCTTCTGAAGCCCCCATTAAAAGATCTCAAGATCTGCCTTGTAGTTTTTTTGTATTCCCGTAGGATTCTTCTCAGTGCATTCCAAAAGCAAACAAACACAAACAAGCACAGGAATAATTTCAAGAGTCATGCTCTATATTGCCACCAAGAAGTTAAACTCAAATGCAAGCTAGCTTAAGATTTAAAGAGCACAAGGGAGGAAAGTAAAACATAATTTCACACAGGGAGAAAAAAAATGGAAAAAACATATGGAAAAAAAAACTTAAAATATTTCTTAAATCATGTGAAAGGCAGAATTTAGAGTGATTCTTTGCAATCAACGGGTGTAGGATCCCTTTCACACCTTTTTCAAATCCCTTATTTCCAGAGTCTTTCACACTTACAGGTCTGGCAGTGATTTTCCGTGGGTCCCCAGCATCGTCCAGTGCACGACTTGTGGCATCGGCCGCCTTCAGGACAGAAAGAGAGAGAGATTAGAAAGCGGGTTTCTTTCATTCTGCAGTCTCCAGAGACTGCTCCAGAGAAAAGCCATTTCTGCCTTGGGAGGCTTCCTATGCACTGCCCAGGTTGAAAACTGTGCCTATAAAAAGACCAGAAAGAACTAGAATTGGTGTCAAACATATATAAAATTAAAGTACTTATCTTAATGCTTTATAGCTGAATTCCCTCTCTGCTACATATAATGACTGGAACATTGTAACACCAGAAAAGATGACCAATTTAGAAGAACTAAGCAGTAACTTCATTTTCCAGTGCTATTAATATAATGGCTACTCCGTGTGTTCTACATAAGACCCTCTTATTCCTCCATAGGAAGAGGGACGTCTGTGTTGGAGAGAACACAATTTCATCCAAATAACCTGGTAAAAAAGCTTGGTACCTCTGCACAAAAGCCACCAAAAGCTGCCCCTCTCCCCAGAAGAGCGCTCTCAGCCCTCACACACCACGGCAGCCCAAACCATGGTAGCGGAAACCTCTGGGAATCTCACTGATCTTTTGAAGCTGCTCTGATTCCCGCACAGTGTTGACAGCCCTGTTGAGGACGGGGGTAGCAGTGGCACCCCATGTGCCCAGGGCCACGTTGGCATCCCCAGCCCGGATCCTGGTGTCACGCTGTGCCAGCTGCCTGCTCGGATCTCCAGTGCATTATAGCTGCGTTCCGGCTGACAGGGAGGAGACTCCATCTGCCGTGAACGATGCGGCTTTAATCAGTCATAACAATTATTATTACCATTAAGAGGCCACTGTAGCCTCTGCAGAAAGCTAATACATCCAAACTGACTCTGGAAGAATGGAGAGGCTGTTTGCTGGTTTGGGGGCTGCAAGTCTCACAGTGGTGCAGGACGAAGCATCACGGAGATCCCTGCTCAACCACGTGTTCCTGAGGCCAAACGAGGTATCGCTTTGGCTGCCGCTTTTCCCTCTTCAAGCATCCCTCTAAGTGACCTCTAACTGCAGAGGCCTCCCGCACTCCTGCAAAAACTGTGCTTAAAATAAAAACCTTTGTATTCGAAAATCCTACATGAGCTGACCCTCGGTCTACAACTACGCTGCACTCAGCCAACTCTACTCGTCCGGGAAATAAAAGGGATCCAGCATCTCCAAAAGTCATTTTTTAAAGTACTTTAACTTGCACGCCTGCTTCCCAATACATGACTTCGTTTGGCAGTGTCAGACGATCATTCGCATTTAAACAGAGATATTTAACAATATAGAGAGCAAAGGCTGCCAGGTCTCTCTCTTCTCACTGGGAACCCAAAGTCTCTGCTTCGCTGTTTTGCCCCTTCTCACAGACCAAACAGGGAGCCAAGCTTGCAGGCAGCACACCTGCGGATTACATTATTACAAGTCTTTTTGAAGGTCAAATATACTGAGAATTAAAAGCAAAAGGCAAACCTCCTCCAAGCAGTGTGTCTATGCCGGTGTGTTTGTCTAAGCAGCAAAGTGAGTTTGCTCTCAGTGCGAACCGGTCCAGATTCTGCCCTCACATCACTCGAGTTGCACCTGTGTTTTCCCCACTGTAATAAGGAGAGATTGCTCCCCGTTAAAGATCAGCTCGGTAACTCTTGACATAAAAGCAATCCCACGGAAGGCAACGCGAGCAGCTGGGAACATAAGGAACATCCATGTGAAGAACTGTTCTCTGGGTTAGATCTAAATGTCAGTCTTAAGAGATAATAAATGTACGGCCCCAAGAACGATGAGGTCCTTGAAATAATTGCAGTGCTCCTCACAGCTGTTTCCCGACACCTTTCTTCTGGAAGGCTTCCCAGTTATGTGTTACAGCAGCCACCACAAGCAGGTTGGTGAAATATGTGATTTTTAGATCGCAGTGAGTCAAGCACAGACTTGAGTGAAGATTTATTAAATGATTCTTTGCATAAAATAGATTATTCCTTTTTATTTTATTCTTTGGGTGTCTAAAACACACCAAAAGCCCTCTAACACACAGAAGGAAGTTCTAAAGGAAATAGTTAATGAAGAAGTGTCAAACCATGAAACTGTAGAAGAGTTCCTCCCTTTTGTTTTCATGCAACAAAGTGAATAAAGTAGTAGAATTTCATTCCTCCCTGTGATTTCTACCACTGGGCCTTGAGATCAAAAGACACTGAGCATCCTAAAGTGCTGGGGACAATCAGTAAGACCTGAGAACACTTCCCACTAGTTGGAAAAGCTCAAAGCTTCCAAATGGAGAAAAGTTCCACCTCTGAGAGTTCATCAGGACTGCTTGGCCCACTTCGCACCAAGTGTGCCTTTTAGATGGTTTTTAGCAGGTTAATAAGCCATTAATAAATGTAAGTGTGTCTGTAACACACTGATACAGAAATGTGAATAAACACAGCAGGAGGAAGGGGCTTTGATGGCTACAACCCATGATTATAAGCAGCTTCCTTATTTGTCTAACAGTCTAAAATAATTAACTATCAAAATACCCATAAATCATTTATTAGCTTCCACAAGCTACTTATAAACTCATCCTTAACCCAAAAGTTAACTCTTGTAAAAATGCCAGAGATGCTATACAGGTCTTTCCAGATATAAACAGCCTATGGTGTTTCCAGCACACTCTGGAAGAAGAGTTTTTTATTTTCCCATTGTCTAGACACGGAATAAGGTTTAAATAAGGTTGCCCGATGTTTTTCTAAGCAACCAGCATTCCTCAGATTTACACATGAGAGAGACATTCTATTGCAAAATCAAAATATAATTCAACCACTCCAGCAGGACATTAACAGGAATTAAAGATCCTGTTGTCGGGAGGGACGGCTCTGCCTTAATCGGGCTGTGCTGATGCCTTCCCTGTCCTTGTCTGACAATTCCTATTGTCACACGTTCATTCATTCACTCTCCTTTGTTAAGGAAAAACCATTTTGCGTTTCCTACCAGCCCTGTGCTAGTCTTCAGATCCCGTCTATTGACTGGAGAGCTAATTACCTAACAGAGAGGTTGGCGCTTTCCAGGATTTCCTTTCTTTGCGGTAGCAGGGATGTGTCTCGCCACGGGAAGGGGAACTCGAGGAAGACTCCTAGGGAATCACCTAGGACTCTTCTCCTTTTCATTGCAAGTATTATTGGATATAGAAATGTAGGGGGCAGATAAACCGCATGGCTTTCCCTGATCTCAGGCGAGTTCTCCTCAGGGAACATCCCGTTTTCCAGCACTGCCCTACCAGCACCACAGCACCCATAAAAGCAAAGCCCCTCCAAGCACTGCCTGCACGTCCCGCGCCCGCTGCATCCACCACCTCTATCTGCTCATCTTCCCTGCAGACACGGGCAGGGATGCTCCCAACGGAGCGGCACTCGGGCACCGGCAGCTGACAAGTGCATGAAATGAGAACAGGCCAGGGGAACCATGTGGAAAGACGGGAGAGGAAAGAGACAGCAGCGAGCAGGAAGGGAGCGGAGATAACACTGAACCCGCGCTGAAGAAAACAGGGAAGAGCGACAGCGAGAGGGGATACGTTTCTGTGAGTAACATGGGATGGGCCTGGGGCGGGCTCGGGCATTGCAGAGCATGGTGGGCAGCTCTGATAGGAGCAGAGAGCGGCCGCCGGAGGTAGAAGAGTAAATGAAGAGCCAAGGAGAGCGTGTCGGCCGGGCTCGCGCCACCGAATTCATGTTTCTCATTGGCAGCTGCACGCTGATAGGGAGCTCACCACGACGCCACGATTCAGCAGCTACGGAAAAATGTCTCCGGGCGCAGGGAGGCCTGCAGGAAGGGATGGAGCGGGGAGATGAAGACACCAGTTATTTGCCTCCGCCTGAAGCAGACGGCGCTGGTTCGGCACTAGGACTTGATGCATTCATTGGAGGTTTAGTCACCCACACAGAATAAAAACCTCCACTTCTGACACAGTCTGAAACTTTACACTGCTTAAGCAAGTAGGAGCTATTAATTGTCCCCGCTTTTAGCTGCGGCGCCGAGCAAGGCAAGCGGGTGCCCGGGTTTCCTGCCTCGGGAAATGCTCCACATGGTGCCACCCCGTCCCTGCTCACACAGCTTGGACAACACAAGCACGAGCGGCGGGTGCCGGTGCATCAGCGTGGCTGAGAACCCAACCAGCTCCTCCCTTGGACACAACATGCAGCCCGGGACAGAAATCCCCGCGCGGCTGCACACCATCTTCACGGGAGGTGCTCTGCAAACTCCGAGACGCGCTGAAAGGTAAATGCCAAGGCCGGGGGCGTTCCCGGGCTTGTTTAATACCAACTCCTCCACCCCTCCGACGGATCAACTAAGTCAATACCACATAAGTCAAAATAATGTCCCGTGATAATGTTCCTGTAATGCTGCCAAAGTGGTAATAAAGTTAGAAGAGAGGGGCAGGCGGTTTTCATTTTTTAAGCAAAGTAATAACCTCAGAGAAAGGAAATGAAAAACTGGAATTGAAGTGTCTTTTAAAAACCGTTTCAGTTTTTCTTGATGCCATTTAATATTCCTAGAGCCTGACTGCGCGCAGTTAGACGCGTTAAAGTTTTAATAAACTTTCAACTGAATTAAATGGAAATTTCAGAAAGTCAATCCCAGTTGCCATGACATTTGGCGTCTAGTTTTAGACTAACTTTGGGTTAAGTATCACAACATGCTTATTTAACTGTAATTGCTTATCCAAAATGTATCTCTGGCTGTTCTGCAAAGAAGGGATTATTACAAAACCATTATGGCACAACAGAAGCCCTTTCTCTGCTTGAAAACAATGCTCGGGCTCATACGTTGGCATTTCCATGCACTGTTTGCTATGCATAAATATCCCATGAAAATACCATGCAAACAAACGCCAGGCTGTAATTTGGAGGCTAATTTTCGGCTCCTGGTGAGCGGAGGTGTTTCCTGTGGACGTGCTGCAGCATCGCGGAGCACGAGGAATCCGGCGTGCAGGAATGGTTCTGTGGGATGCAATTTACATAAAACCACTGGGAAACTCTGGCCTGGGGATCTTATTCTGCAAGGATTCCAAATATCACAACCCTGCAGGAACACTTCACTCACAGCGGCTTTTCTGGTGTTTTCCAAGTAAATTCCAAGCTCCTAAGTGAAGACCAGAAGGAAGGTTTTGACGCATGGAAGCTGCTTTGAATCCTGGCCCAAGGAGACAGCAATCCTGGCCCTCGCAGCACTACCTCCTCTAGCAGCCAGGCATCCTTGTGCTCATTGCTTAGTTTTTACCTGGTGGTTAGAGGCACCGTGTCTCCCCTTAACGCCATAGCCACCTTTGTTCCAAATCAGCTTCAAGGGCATCCACCGATTCACAAATCCCTCCCGAAAATGCTGGTCAAAAGCATTTATCAGGCACCTTAACTGATGCCCTTCATTCAAAACACACGTTCCAAGCTGAGGAAAACAATTCCAGGGAACTTCAGGCAATTTGCCTTGCTCTACTAATGTAAAGGAAGTTCCCTGCACCACTAGCTTTCATGTACTAAAAGCCTGGAGTGCAGCAGACTCTTCACACCGTTTA